ACAGTCGTAGTTTGACGAATAAATTAGTTGCGAAATGTAATATTTCTCTCTTAAGAAAGTTTCAAAGGTGAGTGAATGGATGAAAAATCTCAAGCTCGCTGGGTGGTTGAAAATCTGGGAAGATTTAGAATTTCTGACTCTGCGAATCTTTTGACGTAAAATGTGGCAGCGAGCGTGGGAGTGGGTGGCGTATCACCAAAATCTGGTGTCGTAACTCCCTGAGTAAGTCAAAGATGAGGCACTCAACTGCAAAGTCAAAAGCAGAAATGCTCAATTATATGATGTCGAAGGATGAGAAGTTGGCAGGATTTAAATTTTGTAAACCTAGTAGCCCACCTCTTCCCTTCACACAGCAGCTGGATCCCCCTATGCCGGGCACTAAACTCTTAAGGTGGCCAAATCGGATGACCTGAAGTCCGCATGGAAGACGTTCAAGCCCGATGCAGTTTGAAATTGTTTTTGTCACTTCCTAATTGGTTAAACCAAGCTGTGAATAGTCAGCAAATCTTTTCCCCTAATCACTAATGCTGCGTGGCATTGCTCTTGATAGCAGGTAGAACAATACAAAATGCTTTGTTTCATGCACACACGCAGAAGTGGTGCTGCCAAGTCTTGAGAAGCAAAATTAAACATTGTTGCGGCGCAAGTGCTTTCCAGGGCCAATGGAGTGATCGGTTCTAATTCAGTGAGCTGCTGAACCGAGGGTTGAAATCCTCAGTGCTCCCAATTCGATGGGAAAGGTGATAAACAATCTTAGGTAGCACCAAAGGTCAAATGAGAGATTAAAGACTCGTGCTTACTCTTAAGAGGCCTCTCAGTGCTAGGATAGAGTTGTTTCGCGATATAGAGCTCAGTCTATCACATTCAGGATTATAATGTCAACCGACTAAGTTATCTTTGACGTTCGTTTATGTCCATTTCATGTTTGTGCTAGGAAAATTGCGTTGAAAAGAGAATTGGACATTTATTTTCACTATACGGTAGATCTCCTCTTAAAATGCCAATTGGTATAAGATCTTGTTAAGAAAATTCAAAAAAATTAATTACCATTCAGGTTGACATTTACGCTGTGCTCAGCCAGTGTCTGCGCTATTAGCAAAGGCGCATAAGTTCATGACTTCATTCTTATGGCAAATTTCTGTCTTTGTCCAAAATAAACTTAAAGCCGTTATCAGAAGTGAATTTTGAATTTGAGTATGCCGATCGGATAGACTTTACATCCTCGGAGCTCTTCGATTTGGCCTCAGCTGATCTCTAACCTTTCTTGACAATGTGGAATTCAAGATGGCAAGAGCGATTATAGACGCTTCCATAATCTGTAAGGCATCGCTGTTCCCCACTCCTCCATCAACCACCTTTGGTTTATAAACTAAATGCTTCGACGACAATTCTCTCATTTTGTTTACTCCGATTAGGAAATGGAAGAATAGGGCATAAAATAGTCTGAAAGCTACATTTAAATTCACAGCTTTTTTATCCCCTTGGGCAATTCCCATTGCACCACATAATGACACTAATTAACTGACCTTATATTTCCTATTTAGAAAAAATGCAATGGAAACCTTGGTTCACACAATCTCTGACCGCCTAGTGCGGTTTTATGCACAATTAATTGAAGGCATTTTGAGTGCACTTTTGAGGGGCTATTTAAGGTTACCTTAAAGAATTGGCAGCTAGATTTCTGATTGAAATATTTGCAATTTTAGTCAGAAACTGCAAAGAGTGGCACTGCACTTTGCATGTTAGCACGACAGTAAAGCCAACGTCTGGTCACGCCTGCTTGAATTTAGGGCGCATTCGGAAGAACAAGCAGGCGATTGCGAATCCAACTAAGTGAGGAAAATATTCCTCAAAAATTGTGTTTGCTCTCTGAAGCACAGCCTTTAGGGTATGCTAATGGTCTCTTGGCCTCTTTGCGTATCTTTACTACGTTTTCTCCTCTGTGCTACCTAGACCTACCACGATTTCAGTGACAACTCTAACCGCCACACTGATGACAGAGGCAAGCGACCCCAGTCCAAAAGTACAGCTCTGTTTAGATGCCCTAAGTAATTAACTTCGACGTTTCTGATTAAGGGCATCAGTCTCAGACAAAGGAATCTACAGGAACTCGAAGCTTTCAAAAATTAATCATACATGACCTCTACTTTAAGCAATGCCGATATTCCTATACTTTAGTACTCCGGAACCCTTCAGGAAAGTACATTACGAAGCTGCTACAATCATGTACAAATATGGCAAGTAAACGAATGGGCAACACTTCTTCTATGTGTCGTCTACCTGAATGGAAACCAAATGGATGGCGGTCGTTGGAAGGAAGCAAGTTGGTTAGACTGAGTGGATGCAAAGTTTGCCTCCGCGGCACTGGAGACGATCATGCAAGGTGCCTCCATTGTGGAGCTTGGTCCGGTCTTGAAATTTAAGAAAACATGTGCGTTCACCTCTCTCAATGCAGTCCGCAAAGCAGAATGAAAATCTGAGCGCGCTGAAATTGTCGTTGTTAATGTGACATAAGTATCAGATGCCTCTTACCTCGAAATAATTCGATGACGAGTTTGGGGTGATAATTGAAACACTTTTGCTCTGTATGGCAAACACGAGATGCTAGCAACGATGGGTAAGCGATGGTGTTTAAATGAACCAAAAAAACGTGCAGTTCTATGGTGTTTTGCCATCTGAAAGTGAACTATGATATCGCTACAAATAGAATTTTTGTGTTGGTGTTTACTTGAAAGCTAATTAATCGTCTCCATAGCTAGCCACTCCCAGACCAGTCTGAACATTAATACCCTGGTAGCAAAAGCTTTCTAACACCTAATTACTATCACGTACCATCGTTGTAGCCTATTAAGCAATATTCCTGTCTGCTTTTGTGATTTAAACCTATATTCACTACAAGATTTGGAATTCAGCTGCATCGTCGATTGCGATCCCTTTGCCAACGCTTTTCCAAAATCAATGAAGACTGATACTTCTTTGTACACAGTCGAAGCATAGTTTTGTTCGTTCAAGGCTAATAGGGTCCTAAAATTTTTCATAACATCGTCTTCGTCAACATATGGGCCATGTATTTAATATGCTCCCCATTTTAAAACAAATTTTCTCTTCAAAAACAGCAATGGAATATAACTGCAGGTAGACGAACCTAACAATGTTCCCAAGTGTCAAGTAATGGACTCTGCAAATCCATTCCCTTGACCACGTACCTCTGGGACAGCATGTGCCAGAAATTCAGCCTAAAGAACGGAAAGCGCTTCATGAAATCGATTTACATTACCTCTTAAGCACCTAACCATCCGAATCTGACTTAATGATGTGCTTGATGTGGCAGTACATATCCACGGCTTTGTCGAACCTCGCCGAAACCTACATTATTACTCAAAGTGATCCTGACGTCCATCGTTGATAGAGAAGCCCCAATCCGTTGCGCTGTCCAAATAAGTTCTTGCCAGCCCTATAAAATTACTTATGAAATGAATTTTGGCGATTACTTGATACTTAAAAAATTGTAGATGAAGCTTATTTAATAAATGCATGGCCTGCAACACCATGATGGCTTACCTAACTCAGCATATGATTGTTCAAATAATTAAGTTGCTTTAATTAATGTTCTTTCTCCGTGCCGTGACTTCCATACCACGGAAAAATCTCATTTATTTACTGACATACAGAATCGATAGGAAACAACATTATGAACGCTTTCGACTTTCAGATAAGCCTTGTGACACGTATTGTGTGTTCGAATTTCTCTTGCCTGGTAAGGGGCTCGAACTAGACTCAAACGAGGTAGGAGGTTGTGGAGGTCTCGCTAAGGCCATGATGTTCATACATTTGCTTTTTACTTATCGCCAACTGAAAATGTAACACTTTGAAGTGACGAACAGAGCCATGCGGATAAACTTTCCTAAAGAACCCAAGAAGAAGGGTCCTGAACAGATGGTGCGACTTGCAAGCTCAGCTTCCATTGATTTAATTAGGTCAAACCAATTCCGTTTCTAAGCCCAACGAGCTGTAATAATACCAAGAGCATTTACTGATACGTTTGAAATAGTTCCATAACCTTATAAGCGCTGCTGCTTCAAAGCATTCACTGCCACTCTAATTGAATTTCAAGCTTAAATCCTAGTATAATTTCAAAAAACTTCGCTTAAACAAAGAGGCGAACTCCATGAAACTTTCGATTGAGTTTCTTGTGATAGCACAGAGTCGAAACCTAAAAAGTAGAGTAAGGAGCAATTTGTGGCGCTATCAGTTAAGGCTACCCAGTGATAGGTATAATTCACTAGTTCTATTGACTGTTACAGTTAATTATTGTGGAATTAGCTGTGGCGTTTGAATGCACCGCTTAGCCGGCACTACGCCTGAAGGCTGCGCTTGCTCCTCTACCGCCCTGCGAATGTTAGGGCTGCAGGTGCTTATGTTGTGGTTTTTTGATACAATGTACTCAATAGAGCTGCCCTATCACCAATTACCAATTCATCCTGTTTTACTGTTCATTTGGTTGCGTACAAGAGGCTTAATTATGTCAACATGTTGTCCATACCGTATTTAGTTATTGTATTGTTGCCTAGAGGAATATTTTATCTTTATTTTTAGTGATCAAGCCAGCCCTTGACGGGTGAAGTCTAGTCAACATCTTTTTTGATCTCCGCCTCAATTTATGTAAGTTCTAGGCTGTGACTCATTATGTTGTCGCGTTTACATTTTGGTGTAGGCAACTTATGATTGAAACATGAGCGTTATTTCGCAAATTTTTGTCCTAATCATGCGTTTTTGGCATGTTTTTTGAATATTAGCATCGTTGGGTTCATTTTTGCCCTATGTTTCCCATAGTTATTGTTTGTGTTGCGAACTTCCGCTTTTTCGCCATCTCTCAAGCAAGCATTTTGGGAATTTTGTGTACTGTTAGTGTTCAGTCATCTTCAAGGCTATCTATTCGCCGAAATTACTCTAGTGTATCGTGTTTACGCCAATTGGTCACATTCCAGCCAAATTTTCCAATGGGTCAGCTCATTTCCGGTCCGGTAACGTTCAAGGATACCAAGGTATGGCAAAACTCCCAGTTTTCCGTTGCCGCGTCTAGCATGCAAGGCTGGCGCGTGCGAATGGAGGATGCTTATGCCTGTTTTCTCAATCTTCCCACCTCGGATTCGCTCTCTCCTCCCACTGCCTACTTTGCCGTTTTCGACGGCCACGGTGGCACCAAAATATCAGAGTACGCTGCTACTAATCTTCACACGAAGATAATGGCTGAACCGGCATATGGTAATGAGGATGTACGCTCGCGATCGGTGAAAAGATGGTTCCTCACTCTAAGCCTGTCTAATTCTTCCAGCCAAAGGCGATCTAGTTGGAGCCATGCGATCAGGAGTTCTAAGGCTCGACGCCGAAATGCAGGTCAAATTCACCGGACACCTCTCTCACTCCAACACAAAGAGGTCCCCTTTCGATCTCCCTGACGTAGAGGTAGAGGGAAGGTCTTTGTTCCCCTCCTCGGGAGGTGGCGTAGATGTCGGTGGCTCTACCTGCATCGCGCTGCTGCTGCGCGGGAATCATGCGTACTGCGCGAACTGTGGAGATAGTCGTGCGGTGCTTAGCCGACAGGGTGTAGCTGAGGCACTGTCAGTGGACCACAAACCCACCATGACTTCTGAATGGAGCCGTATTGTTGCCGCTGGAGGCTGGGTGGCGGCAAATAGGGTGAACGGCAATCTAGCACTCTCACGAGCTCTTGGCGATTTTGTGTATAAGCGAAACTCCACTCTTTCTGCCGAGGAGCAAATCGTTTCAGCTGAGCCCGACGTTACTCAGTGCGAATTGAAGGTTACTGAGACGGACGAATTCATTGTTCTTGGCTGTGATGGCATCTGGGATGTGATGACGAATCAGGAAGTCATTAGCTTTGTTCGCAGCCGCCTAGCCAATGGTCGTCCCCTCGATCTTGTAAGCTACTGCTGCATCTTAAACTTTACTTCTTTTGCTACTTTTGACATTGAATTATTTCGTCGATTCTGCAACCCGTTTTGACGGATTAAATTCACTGCTTCTGCTACTGTCGCAGAGAACTGGTCACGTTATGCGAGCGATTACACCAACTTGCATTCCTTTTACCTGCCCCAACTCAACTGATATACTTGCAGTCGAATAGAACCTGGTCATCATGATAACGTGACTGTGGCAACAAACATATTAAGGCTTCCAGGCATCTGAGGTGGGCATCTGTACACCACCCTAGCAGCTTTCACACCTTGCCTTCAAGAGGCACTTTCGTGCTTAGTATTTTGTGATTATTTCTTATATTAACGTCTCATCTTGTTCGAGATCTGTGAGGAGTTGATGATGCACTGCTTGGCCCCCAATTGCAATCCTAATGGACTGGGATGCGACAACATGACAGTTGTCATAATCTGCTTCCTGAACGGCGGCACCTATGATGACCTCAAGCAGCGCTGCTCTCGGCTCTGTCCTGCCGGCCCAGCTGTTGATGTATTGTCCCCCTAGTCAGGTCTCCTCTCTGTCTGACCTTATGCCTTTCAACGACTGCATTAATCTTACCCCTTTCCAACCCTTTTCTGACTTTACATCATCTGTATATTCTCAGCTTTAGAATGCATTACTTTCTATGAGTTGGCGACCGGTACTGCTGGCGGTTGCAGGTTCAGGTATGGGATATGAGTACTCTCCTGCAAAGTGGCCAAATGTAGGGAGTACTGCTAGAGTTATGACAAAGGAACGACTACACCTTTATCGAGAAGACGTGCCAATGTAAATGAAGAGTGCAATTTAATGCCATTCTTGAAATCTGCTGTACAACTGCGCAAGAATCATAATAAAATTAGGGAGTGGAGTGTTGATGTGTGCATTGTCAGACGGAAAAGCTCTCGCCACAACCGCAGGTGCCTTTTATATTTGGGTTATTGAAAATGAATTCACTGGAGATTGGCGTTTCTCGGAAGTGCATTTCAGAACCAAGGAGGGTTAGTTGGGCCTTCCTATCGATGAAGACGCTGACGCCGTCCTGCACAACTACTTCGTCTCCATTCTGTCGCTCGGAGCAGAATGAGAGAGTATAAGAAAGGCCGTTACAACCACGCGTCCGAACGCCGATTCGCAGACCTATCGCGTCAGGCTCTCGCGAAAGGAGTTCCTTGGCGCGTTGGAGAGCACTGTCCGTAAGGGTAATGGCCTGGAACCGGCCTTTCGGTGGCTTTGTCAGACGTTTAGGATTATTTATGGTACGAACGGAACTCGACACCGTCCCTGCACACTGGTACGAAGTCAAGAATCTCATGGAAAAATATGATTTCCCAAGGACTTGGGGCGTGCTGCATGCAAGACCTGTCCATCCAAACATCTGATGGGAGCAAAACTCAACCATTTAGTCAGAACATTGACTACTGCGTCTCTAGAGGCAGTTACAAGCATAAAACACATGCCAGGATGACAAAAAAAGTTGGTTAGCATTTTACGAAATCGCTTGTGGCTGTGCAGTGAGCTTTAGTGGTTACGGAACAGCTAGAATATCACAAGGAATAATTCACTTGCTAATTTAGAGAGGTAAAGGTGTGTCCATTAAAACAAAAGACTGAATTCATCAGAAGAACGTACGTAAGAAGCTGCTTGAGAATGAACGCAGTCAAACAAGACGGGTATGGAGGGAGTTTAAGGGAAATGTCTCTGAACTTGGATATGGGAATTAAACGCGCTCTTATTTAATAATTTGATTTGTTGTATTAGCAAAAAATCTTGTAAAATATGGCACCATGCTGCAACACAGGACGCACTATTAATTTTTATTCAGAGCACGAGGTCCTGCAAGTTTTGTAACGATTATCAAGACTTTATTGAATTGAATTTTTTAATAAAAAAACGAGCAGTTTCAAGGGTGTCAAAAGTTTTAAAGTGAGTTATCTGTGATTTTGCTCAGCACAGGATATTTCAGCAATATCAGTCATACAGTAATAAGACACTTGTCTAAAATTTCAAATAATCCTGCTGTAATGTTTTGTTTATGTGATCACACGACGTTTGACGGTCAATTTAAGATTTGTCTGCCCTTGTATCTGCGGGCCGGCAATTGGGCACTGTCCAGATCCAGTCGTTTTGTCCTCTTTGGAGGACATGTATCCAGCTTCACTTACTGACTACTCCTACCCGGTGGGGAGTCTTGGAACGCTACATTGGTAGCAACGGAAAGAAAACTCGGCATTATTTCAACGACTTTTATCCTAGCACGTACCTTTTGTTGCATGTACCTATGGTGTGCAGGAGGCGCGTTTATATCGGTAGTCAGGACTCTCTGAGCCCTTCACAACGAAAGGGTCGAGACTTACGTCTGTATTTGGCTTCACCTTATTCTCGCCCTCCACAGAAAAGCTATTAGTAACTGAAGCGACCTTTGCAAAGCATCCGGAAAAGTTTCGTGTTGAAATTTACCTCACTAAATCCGTGTATAGGTGTCGGAAATGACACTATGGTTCTCCTTATCTAAGGGACATTTGTGTTAGGTCAGAGTTGCAACATCTATTTCTAAAAGCGCTTGAAGGTTATCAGATGTATGTGGTCCCGAATCTGGTTATCAAACCGAACGGAATCCCAGATCCTGATTAGGCTGCTGAGGAGAGAAACTACAGCTCCTCAATCTCATGCTATCTGTCGACTGGCGCAGTTGGCTCGTGGATACTTTCTTGTAGTACCAAATATGTTGTGATGGCTGTTATGGGAGATGTATCAGGAGGAGCGTCGAGGGCGTCGTTCAAAAGAAGAGAGTAGTGGTGTAGTGCTTTGTTTATGTGAACATCTGCTGTTTGGCAGTCACCTTAAGATTTGTCTGGGTCTTGTAGTTGTAGGCTGGCGTTCGGGCCATGCCCAGGACTAGTTATTTTGTCCTCCTCGGACTACATGTATCCAGCTTCATGTATCCAGAGCTTTCATCGAATGCACTTGCTTTGGATGTCGGCATTGTGGGTGCGCTCTAAACTTTATTCACGAGAGACCGCTGAATTCCATACTTCCTTTTTATGGATTTGCTCTTTGATATGTGTTCCTGTATCCAACCGTGGACATATGTGACAGTCAAGCGAATTCACCATCTAAATCCTTTTATGTAGTTGAATTTGTCGGAAGAAATCATCGGCGTCGGGTCTATGTGACCTCTTCTTTTGCGCATGGCAGTTGACAGCCTCCGCGGCGATGGCATTGGTGCTTTCTTCGTGCACCGGTTAAGTTGTAGTAGCCGATTCAGGGAACTTGTCGATGAAATGTCACTGTATGGACGGGGAAAACCGTGTGGTACATCGTTTGCTGTCGGCAGCAGTTGCGGTCTCTTAAACGGCCGTGTTGCCTTTTTCGTGTTGGCTGAGTTCTTGTCGACGTCACAAGTGTCTTTTTCCATCAATTTTGGTGGATACATGCCCTTTTTGTCAGGACTGTCTTATTCGTAGTGGTGCCTGTGATGCTGATTGCTGGACAACTATAGGAGAAAGGTTATCTATAATTGCGCCCTCGTTGTTGATTGTAGTGTTCTGACTTCAGTGTATAGCATGATGCGGATGCTTGAATTTGCACCGAGATCGTTCCTTTTCACTATCGTCCTGTATATTGATTTGTCCATGTCTAGTGAATGTTGGAAGCATGGATGTGATCGGATTGGTACTACTAGCGCCTCTCGTGGCGATACTCTAGGTTGTGTGAGGGTTATATTAAGAAGCGGGAAAAGGGGAAGGAACAGTCTGAGGGGACCACGTCCGCTTGATTTGAGTAGCCATAGGCCTTCATGCGTCTCCGAGATGAAGCTTAATTCACCCACTTTTCCCACTTACCCTTCCCATACTTGTGATCAACGACTACCACTCAAGCACTTGACGATTGCATTTGTTGATGAAGAAACTGAGGCTGAAGGTTTAGCCCTGGATTTTATATTTCCACTAGCCCATTCGTCGGAGCACGTATCTTGTGGTTTTTCACTCACAAACGTCTTGTCTAAAGCATTGTTTCAATATTTATCTGAAACATATTTTCAGGTATTGTCAAGGCCTGTAGTGGTGTAGTGCCTTGTAGCATGTTCGTCGTCGTTCATTTAGAAGCTGGGAGATTCATATTTCGTCTACATAGTTTTATTGACAGAAATAAGGGTCTGTTTATCGTCACAGATCAAGATGATTGAAGCTTCATTAGTTTAATGTGAATTAGTTCTTTTTTCACCCTTTTCTATCATGCTAAGCTTGTGATATTCCGCAAGCATGAACTCATCCTCAACTAGACGGTGGCAAGTATGTATTTGAAATAGAAACGATGGCATTGACGATTTTGATGTCAAAAGGTGGGAAGCGGTGGGTGGTGCAGTTAATGCATGTATTCCGGTGCATCACCCTTGTCCAAGGTGCTCGGGAGTCAAAGCTTTGGCTAAAAACCCCGAGCCTCCTCTAGAGGGCTCTTTTGATCCAGTGCTTAATGTCTCTCTCCAGATTTCAGTAGTGGTTTATCCAACCGAATGCAATGGTCCATTTGCTCACTGTAACTTGTATCATATTAATACATACAAAACTAAAAAAGTGAGGAATCCCAACCTATGGAGTTTTAATAGGGTTGCGCAGTGGCTTATTCCACATTTTGGGCTCGCCTCCGTTTCTTTACAGTAATCTTGTGGCATTCGCGTCCTTTTCACACCTTAGACTGCTAAAACCTGGCTTTTCTGCTACAAAGTACCCGATTTATAAGGACTATAAATGGTTTCTTCTCCTTCAATCCAATCAATCACATCGACTGAATACTGTACCAGTTATTAAGTGCAGAATAGCCCCTTTATGCGTCTACCTAGGGGCTTCTTTCAATGGGTGGATTGCTTTACGCGCCTTGTAACCCCATCAAATTCGCTCTCTAAATCATACTCCAAGAACTGATGGATTTTCATGACTTAGGTTTGAATTAGGCTGCTTTACCAGCTCAAAGCCATGCTTTTTTGTTGCCTCTTTCCTCTTATCAGCAGTCATCTAATTTTGCATAAAACTTCCAAGCTCTTTTCACTCCTGTAAACGTTCGTGCCTGTTGTTCCAGTTCAACTCTATTAGGGGCTAGGCCATTTTGCTGTTTATGTTCGTCAAATGAAAATAATTTCTCTGTGTATGTATTCGTTCTCCTGTGCGGCCTGATGCCTCTTTATGAGACGCAAAGGCGAGATTAACGCCCGTACGTTGTACTTATCCCATCGAATAGCTCAACACACGGATGGGATCCCGTTGTGAAGTAGTGATTGAAGGTGGTTTTGTTTAATCTTTTCCGAAAATGTGGCCTTATAATGTCTCCGACTCATCATTAATCTGTTAGAGCTAGATTCCTGCTTCTGCACATTGGATGTGCAAAGTGTAATGTTAGTGTAAATTCTGCAACATATTTATCCTATCCCTGGTTCTAGAATTTTTTTCAGCCTTTACGAGTCGTGACGACTGTAGGTGCCTACACGCCCTTCTACCGTTTGAGTACCGAGGTTTTGGGGTATCTTTGTAAGCATCATGGTGGGCTGCCAGCTAATTAACACTGCAAACCTTTAATCATGACAAGACAGCAATGGCAGTCGTCCGGACTCCAGAATCGTGAGCAACCACGCGGAAACGACCCACACCGGTGGTGGTAAGTTCGTCACCAATTTCATCTCCTAACAAGCTGCACGAAGTTTTTAGTCCTGATTGTTTCTGTGCACTTCGTGAGTGCCAAACTGCTAGTACATGTAGACAGGACTTAACAAGTTCACTCCGAGGCATGTGGTGTTAGTCACGTAAGCATTCTAGCCTCAGTTTCTGATTTCTTGTTTATTCCATAATTGCTCAATCTAAGCACCACCATATTCCCTCATCTCACACACTATACTCGCTTTAATTTCACAAACTTGCAATCTGGTCCACTGCATTGGTCACACACCACTAGTAACATAGCGACGTCATCAAACACTACCATGTGATCTAGTCCTCTCCAGTCTAGGCAGGAGGAACGGCGAGTCGACGCCCGATGACCCGTCTCAACACCGCCCAAAATGATGTGAGAGATTTGTGTACTTTTGAGGAGCTGCATCCTGTTCCGCCCATCAAGACCGGCGCCGATGTGGACCCAATCAAATATCAGTACAAGACTACAACTTCTTGAAGACCATGCGCTCCCAAACACCATTTAACTGACTCACCCGGTACAAAACTCGCTCCTCTCGCATCTCTCCCGCGCAGATAATGTCAACAACACTAATAAGTTGCAACACCTGCGCACTTGGACTATTTGCAGTGAAAGCCACCAAGTGACATCTGCACACCCCCTTACCACGTATTCGGAGCTGATATCTGTGCGTAGCATTGATGTCCGTAAGGCTACCAGACCGACCGCATCGCTGGGATACCAGTACGAAGCTTGATCATCGACACCACTGGGAGCGCTGCGGGAAATCGCTCGACGTTGAACCTGCAGCATATCTATTTGCCCTCCTATGCTCCTCGACCTCTACTAACACCTTTTCGAAATTTCTCAATACCATGCAAATTCCGAGAGATTGGACGTCTCAGATAGATAGCGCTGGTGACCCCAGTGACATTTAATTCGCCAATCGATAGCATTAAAACAGCCGGGAAGACTTCAACAGAGAGGCGCCGCATTTCAAACTCATGCTTATCGGCGGCTCATCCTTTTTCTTGAAGTAGAAGCTATTCCAGCAAACCTTGAACCAGCAGCACCGTTGGCCGTGCATATTGGGCAATACCATCGACCTTTTGGGGCTACAGTAAGGTTTACACAGGGGTAGTGAAACCATTCAATCGGACAGTTAGGGGCGTCACAGGCAATCATGTCTCCATAGCTGACGTCTTTGCAGAAGCAGTACTTGCTCTCGTCAACGGCACCACCAGCAGTTGCTGAGACATGGGAGTCCTGTTGCTGTCTTTGTTGTTGTTGCTGCTGATCCTTCAATGGTACAGCCGATGACTGAGCTAAGGCATAACGGTGAGAGTGTGAGAGGTGATGCAATTCACTTGAGGACACGTAACCACCCGTCTCGTCGTTAGTATCGATGGTGGAGGAACTCATTTGGCTGGGGCGTCGGGTATGGACACCCACGCGACGAGTTTTGTCAACACTGGCGGTCACGCCTCCGATCCAGCGGGGACTCTCGCCACACTTGAGGCTTGGAGACGCAGACACAGTGGGATTAGCCAGCAACTCGTCTATTGACGAGTCTGTGACAACAGCATTGCCTCCGGCGGCGAGAGTTACTGCTTCTGTGTCCGATGTATTCACGAAGGGAGAATAGCACGATGACCCACCGTGGTGAACTCTACAACAAAGCACCAAGAGTCAGCTAAACTTCCGGTCAGGATTCCGAAGAAGAACGAAGTAGCCCGTCCCATAATGATTAAAGTAACCCCCACATAAGCATCAATGATAGAGATTCCGGAACAGATTTACAAGTATTTCGCGTTCAGAGTTAAGGTCATTGAATTTGATGAATGAGGAATGTTGAAGCAGAGCTTCAAGATTTGACAGACGAACCTGTGATGATCCATTGAGATTCCTGCAGCCCTTTGCAGAGTGTCAAGCGCACGAGATCGCTTAGTGGAATCGACTACCAACAAAAGAAGTTTGTAAAAATCCTGATGCAAGAAATTCGAAACATGGTACCAATGTGAGTTCTTCAGTAACAGATGAATGACAATAAAAATGACTGACGTATAGCAAACTACATCCTTACAACTAAGTTGGAGATTGTCTTCATCATCATCACAGTAATCTTGAGAATCTCCCTGAAAGGTGCCGAAGTCATGGTCTGGTATATTTTGATCCATCGAATTGAGACTTCCCGCACTTGGAACACGACGCATGACGTCAGAAGAAGAAAGGCGATTGTTACTTTCCGACATAAGGGGATTCGAGGTTTCTTCGACCATAAATGGCCCCCCATTACCACCATAGGAGGAGGGCGGGGGCAAATTCATTGGGGTATCAAAAGCTGCAAACCGACGCTTAAGTACGTAAAATTGCTTTTCCGGCAATTCCATGGAGAAGGGCATCCTCCTCTTTGAAATGGCACGGTTGTTGTTAAAAAAATGACCGCTGCGGAACTTCGCACGGCGCTCTAAAGATTATTAAGATACGATTCGGGACGTACTCTCCAGCCGACTCACTCCAGGCATGTTCCGTCCAAGAATAGTTCGAACACCTGCAGATAAGATAAATTCAAAACTTGGAATTATCTAACGATGTTCAATTTTTGAAGTGACTCCAGAGTTATCCGCCTCCAACTCCAGACGAAACTTCTCTAATTCTGAGTCTAATTTTTTCATAACCTTTTGGTACTACCACAAAATGAAATGGAATACAAGCGTATGTACTGTAGTGTAAATATTCCTCACAATAGCAACCTTCTTCTTTGAGTAATCTGCAGCCCTAGCGAACTCCTTATAAGTACAGATAAGAAAAGAAGAGACGAACCTTAAGTATTTGATCATACTCGACATCCTTCTCCCTTTCAGAAAGCCTTGATGATTTGCAATTGTCGAAAAATGCACTGATTCTCAAGTTCAGAGGGTTCACCGTATCTATTACGGACGAATGGATATGAAAATCCAACTACTCTGTGCCTGATGATCTAAATGCCTGATGGTAGTCAGTTCCTCCCGAAGATCAGATGGTAAACTCTCAATAGCTAAGGAGCACTTTCGCATTGCTCAGTGCAAGCCTACCTTCCATGAAGTCATCGAAGTACAGCATGATGGCGACCAGCCAGACGCCATGGAACAACGCAATGCTAATTCAACCCGATTACTTCATTTTCATTGGTTAACAGAACATGATGTTGTTTTTACGTAATTACAAAATAGTTGTAAAAACTGGGTAAATAGATAGCAAACTGGGTAGTTCTTTACTGAACATAGTGCAGTATCGCTTACATAGGTTCATTTGACTATACACATGTTAGTCGATCACGACAAGCAACCTCTTCGCAACTCATTAAACCAATTAAACGGATTTGTTGTTTCTAAAATTGTGATGGTTCCAACTATTATCAGAAACTAAAGATCTATGTCAGTATGGTCATTAACTTCATCAAAATGAGATCTATACAGAGCTTCGATCATTTCTTAAAGTGGAGTAGCTATAGTGTCCCGAGATTCCCCACAGGGTTGAAGGCATTCATTGGAGCTTAATTCATGTATTTCAGAAAGAGCAAGAACCTTTAGCCAGAGCTTGGCCTAAGGATCAGCTTACGCGTACAAGGGTCGGAAGAATCATCAAGTATTCGACAGACATCAAGTGCTTGGCCCCAAGGCCAGCTCACGTGCATAGGGACAATAAAAATTCTGAAGTGACCACCAAACGTCAGGCAGTCACATAAACAAACCATTACACTGCCTCCCTCTTCTTATGAGAGACGGATTTTGTATGGGAAGTTCTGACATGAAACTTTTCCAGATGGTTTGCGGCCGTGTCGCTTCAGTTGTTGATAGCTTGTTTGTGGAACGCGGGAACCCAATGCAGACGTCAGTCCGAATCCTTTCGTTGTGAAGGATTCAGGGACTCTCCGTCACCAAGGTAAATTCGCCTCCTTCGGTTCATGCCATCTTTTCGCCTGTATCTTCATCTACTGCACTTCGTTAGAGTCAGACTTCATTCTACGCATGTATAGCTCATGATTGCCAGTGCACAACGCCAAACTGCGCTTATTAATCTTGGATTTCTTCACTGAAAAGTTAAAATTGCTTTTTATTCTTGTCTGCTGGTTGGATTACAAACTTCTTGTCGTGAAAATAGGAGTTTCGACCTTCCGGCCAAGGGAACCCGATTTTGGAGTATCTGCATGTATTGAACAGGTGCAACATCTGATCCAAGCCTTGCTCGTCGGCTTGTTCGTACTGTTCTTTTCCGGAAATCAGTCCATTAAATGGCAAAGTTTAGCGATGCCAGAAAGACAGCGGTGTCTGTCGAGCAATAGCTTTATCCGGATACTATGTCGCTTTT